CTAACTGAGCTGAAAAATACAAACATCCAAAAAAGCCAGCTGTTCTCTTTCATCTGTTTGAAGCGCAGCTGGAATAATGCCCACAGAGCCTTCACCAAAATACTTTCTTTGAAAGCAGCTTGCTAATTGTCTTTCAAGGGATTAATCCCACAATTATTAGAATGTCAAAGGGAGCTGGTGCCACCTAATGGTCACTGGCTACACCTGCAGTGCATGTTTCTGTCTTTAAGGTGCTACAAAGATCCCTTTTTACTGATATTCCAAACTAATATGGTTATCTCTAGGAATTCTACCCTCATATTTTACTGTATAACTTACTATACTACCTCCGGTATTACTGTGTATGTCTATGTGCATTCAAATTTATGGTGACACCATGAATTTCGTATGGTTTTGTTAGGTAAGGAATACTTGAGGTTTCTTCTTCTGAAAAATAGTCTGAAAAAGGTAAAGGTTTTCCCTGACATGAAGTCTAGTCATGTCCAACTTGGGGGGTGGTTGGTGGTGGTGACCTCCATTTCTAAGCCGAGGAACCTCCATTTCTATGCTGAGGACCGGACTGTGGTGCAGCTAGTTAGCAACCAGCTGCATTAAATCACTACTAACTGAGAGGTCATGAATTCGAAGCCAGCCTGGGTCAGAGTAAGCTCCTGACCATTAATAGTCTAGCTTGCTGTCAACCTATGCAGCCCGAAAGACATTTGCATCTATCAAGTAGGAAATTGAGGTACCGCTTCATGTGTGGAGCCTAATTTAATTAATTTATGATGCCATAAAACCTTCCAGCAGCGTGTAGAAGAATGAGGAAGTACATCAAAGGACTCGATGTCACCAAGTGGATGGTGAAGTGGCAGCTCCCCCTGTGGCCGGAATCGAGCATACCCTCACGAAGCTTGAAAGCTGGAATGTTAAATCACCTGTGTCTGTCTATATATGTTGTATGTCTATGGCATTGAAAGTTTGCCATATATATGTCCATTGTAATCCGCCCCGAGTCCCCTGCAGAGTGAGAAGGGCAGGATATAAATACTGTAAATATATAAATAAATAATAAACGTTGTCCGTAGACATCTCCAAGGTTATGTGGCTAGCATGACTGCATCGAGCACCGTTACCTTCCCGCCAGAGCAGTACCTATTGATCTACTCACATTTGCATGTTTTCAAAAAAGCTGGTGCTAACAGTGGGAGCTCACCTCGCTCACCAGATTCAAACCACCAACCTTTTGGTCAGCAAGTTCAGCAGCTTAGCGGTTTAACTCCCTGCGCCACTGGGGGCCCTACGCCTTAAATTGGTGGTATCCTATCCAAGTGCTGACTCTGCTTAACTTCTCAGATCAGACAGGATCTGGCGCATTTAGGTATTTAAGCCTTGCCATATTGTTATACTGACAATCTATTGCCTTCTGACAATGCCTTGCTAAAGTATTTGTATCCAACTGTTTCTCACATTTTGTTGTGGTATAACCTAGTCGTAAACTGCATTTACTGTGTAGTTGATGCACATGAAATGCTTAACACTTTGAAGATACAAAATATTTTGTTAATATTACAAGATGTTGAAAAATCAAAGGGTGTGTGTGAATGCCAGCCGTTGCAATTGTGGGGCATGAGTGAATTGCACTGAATTTTGCATTTACCAAACAGTATGGTTTTTCTTCCATGATGTTGTGATGTAAAAGAACTCTTTATATATGAACTCAAACATCAGCCATGCTTAGTATGGTGCACAGAATATTTTGAACACATTGACTTGCTACCATATTTACTTTTAACCTTACAATGACAGAGAAAACGGCATATGGTACTTTGACTTTGTTGCCTCCAAGTTCCACATTTTGGATTTGCATCTTCAAAATGATTCTTTGTGGAGTTTAAACTGCCTTCCGCAGCCCATCATTTTCCAAATGTGTACAAACTTTACAATCCTATTGATGTCTGTGACTTGAAGGGTTTGTAATCCAACATATCTAGATGACAGGTTGGGAAAAGCTTTCCTTAAAAGCCTAGTATTATCAAACAACTTCTTGAATTAGGCATTCCCTTTGATCTGCTGTCACTTTCCTTAGTCTTGCCCCCCCCCCCCAAACCAGGAATGAAGATAGGAGTTTTGGATGGGAGAGAGCTACCAAATATGCTCTAGATCCGTCCTTCCATATTAAACAGACAACAAGAGGACTGGGCAAAGAGTGGTTAACGCCACTTTAAAATAACTCATCTGTTGAATAAATCCTTGAACTTCTCCACACGACTACTACCTTCAGTTTCATTTACCTGCATCTGAGAAAATATTTAATCTTTATACTTTTCTTAGGTTTTCCAGCATAACTCTATAGCATGCTTCTGCAAAACGTTGACCATAATATTCACTTCTATCAGTGATTTTTCCTAACTGTGGTAATTCATCCCTTTCAGATAAGGGGGAGGGGGTCATTCTATATTGGATACTACCTTCCATTATTCTCTTTTGGAGCTTTAAAATCAATGGGGTTAGCCTAAGTCTACAAGCTACTTGAAGGCACGCACACATACACTCAAGTATGTAGTGACCTTTCAGCTCCAGGGATGAGATGATAAAACAGATTATCTAAATCCATTTCATGGCTTGAGGCCCAGTTGTGGGATGATCTAGGCTGGGAACTGATTAGAAGAAGCGTGTTTCTGTTGGCTCTACTGGATCTCAGCAGCTTTCAATATCATCAACTGTAGTATCCTTCTGGACCGCCTCACTGGGATGGGCCTTCAAGGCACAATTTTACAGCAACTCTCATTCCTCCTGAGAGATGCTACAAGGTGATTTGATTTATTGGCCACTACTCATAATGTTTAAGATACACACTAAACTACTGTGAGAGGCTTTCTGTAATTTTGAAACCTCGTGTCATCAGAATGCTAAAGTTAACCAACGTTTACTCATTTCTACCTTGCCTCAGGTATGCTGTTTTTGCACTAAACTGGTACCTCACACCTGTAATGGGCTGGAACAAAGCAAACAAAAGGCATCTTAATCCAGACAAGAACAGAAGAGCTTGTGGTCTATTGAAAGATAGATGAGAATAAAGATACACCCTATCCTGGATGGGGTTATGCTCCTGAAAATTAAAGTTAATGGTTTGAGTATTCTGGATTCAGTCCTGTGGCTGAAGGACCAGGTGTCATCAATGAACCAGAGTGCAGTTGCAGACCTTGGGCTTATCACAGCGGGCTAAACTGCTGTGCTGCAGAAAAATCCTGCCGATCGGAAAGTCAGCAGTTTGATACTGGGTGGGGTGAGCACCAGCTGTTAGCCCCAGCTCACCTGTCCACCTAGTAAGTAGAAAGCAGAAATGCAAGTAGATAAAATAGGTACTGTTATTTAGCGGAGAGGTCGTAAAGGCACCCTTTAAAAAAGGGTATCAATTGGAAGAAAGCTCCTTGACATGGAAGATGGAGCGGAAGCCCCCCCGCCCCCCATGGCCAGAGTCGAGCACAGCCTCCAAGATGCTGGAAAGAAAATAGCAAAAATTGCCTTTACTTCTGTTTGTTTGTTTGTCCTTGTTTACTGTATAAGCAGCATTGAATGTTTACCATATGTGTGTTCTGTAAGCCATTCTGAGCCCCCTTCAGGGTAAGAAGGGCGGGGTATAAATACTGTTAATAAATTAATAACAAATAAATTAAACCTAGTATGACAGCTGCATCCACTTCTGGAAATGTTTGACTTTCTCTGAATAAATCTTGTCAAACCAATACTATGGTAGCTTGAGCTTAAGTAGTTCACATGAAGATGCAAATCCACAATAAAACATTTTCAGGTTCCTCTATTACAATGGAAACTCTTTGTGGGGTATTTACATTTATTATAGTCTCCAGTCCTTTAAACTATATGTAATAGATATAGGCAAATGGATAGATTCGGGGTCAATTTCAGGGAATCAATGAGAGCTATCAAAAATGGGGAAAAACAGAAGAGTCGGTAGGGCTATGCTTGGCTTTGAAAAACTGGCATTTATTAAACATTTCCTTTAAAAATGTTAATGTTAAACATTTCCTTTTTTAAAAAAAAGTTTTGTTCTCAGATTATCTACTTAAAGCCAGCAGGCCATCCTCCCCATTTCAGATGGATGGTCCCAATTTCAAAGCAGCGTATTTAATGACGTCAACATGTTACACAAAACATTACAAACATTTTCATGAGTTATCAAGCTTTGCTAACAATTTTGCGCCAAAAACAAAGCTAAAATATAACTTCGCAAATGTGGAATATATCTAGGCCTTATGTTGTGGGGGTCACCATCTTGCAAAAGACTGGGACAAGGGGCTCTTTGTGCTGGGAGAGGTATCTAGTGGTAATCCTTTGAAACTCTTATGTCCCACCCTTTCAACTGGTAAGAGTTTCATTAATTGATGGTTATTAGTAATAAGAATATTATTAATCTTAAACTTTATTATCATACCCCACCACCATCTCCTCGAAGGGACTCGGGGCGGCTTACATATGGAACAAAATGCCACAGACACAAAACAGTCCATCTAAGCAAAAACACAATTAAAATAAATAGTTAAATATAACAATCCAAACAAAAATAAAAAGTAAGAGTATAAAACAGCAGTGTTAAAACTCAATCAAAACAAAACTCAACAAAACCAATAGCCAGTAGTACAATGGGCATGAACATTGCATGGGAGGATAGTGCAAGTGGCGTATCGTAGGGCTGGGTAATGGATGAAATGCAGAGAGCAAAATATTATTAAGGAACCTGGGGGCTGGGCATTTATAACTAGGGATGAGGCACTCTCAAACGCAAGCTGAAGCATCCAGATTTTCAAATCCCTGCGAAAGGAGGACAATGTAGGAACTTGCCTAATCTTCATTGGGAGGGAGTTCCAAAGTTGATTGCAGAGATATGGTATTTTCAAACGAGTTCCACCTTTCTGAAACACCTGATATTTTCATGAGACACATGATATACTTTCTTGTGTTGAAGAATGCTACAAAAAACAGGCAGCATCCAAAATACATCTATTTAAAATACTGTTTATTTGTGATTTAACATTAATTAGCATTACATCTATGAGCAATTTCCAACGACATTTATATATCTTTTTCCACAGGACACAAGAGTTGGCTGGCTCATTCTTTATGCCAAAGCAAGTAAATAGAGGCATTAGCAAAAAAAGGTGCAAATAGTTCACGGTTGCATTTTTTAAAAAATATTTATGCACATTGCATTCATTTAGATATATTTTTTAAAAGTTATGAAAAGCATAGTTCACAGGTTACTGTTTCTACATATGTTGTAATACAACACAAAAAAAATGTAGAACACAAAACAAAATGAAGCAACTTAGAAATTCCCACTAATTTTCTTTTTAAAAAGAACACACTGATTCCAGTATTTTGAGATATCTAGAATATCATTTCCAGAGTCACTCCGGTGCTGCATTGTCACACTTACACAGTCAAAGCTAAACCAGCCTGTAACATGCTATAGTCATTTTTTGGCATGCCAAACCACCCCCCAGCCATATTTAACAATCTATATACGGTATATATTTCAACTGGCAATCTGGAAGTCACATTGATATTTGAGATGTATTTGGCTTTTCTGGCTATTGATGTAGAAGGGCAGTTCAAAGGCCCTCCTGTTATTTTCCATGTTTTAGTGTGTATTTACAAGGTTCCTTTTTTGTGTTTTGCAAGAAGTCCAAAGAAAAATAAAACTACAATTACAAAGGAGCAAGTGGTAAGATCGGCACCTACAGTGCTACGCTAATTGGTTCTAAGATTCGGTGAGAAGGCAAAACTCAGATTTAAATGACCCTATTACAATCTCCTAAAAGGGACGCTGCTAGACATTACTTTATAATTTTAAAAATATGAAACTTGTCGTTCCATAAATTTTTAATAAAAAATACCCCCAAATCCATACCATATATTTTATGAAAAATAATCCACAAGCGACCACTCTCATTAACGCCTTCTCTTTAGTCATTCATTTCACTTTCCCTTTTTTTCAGTTTTGTCTCCTTCATTTGGTTGTGGGCCCTTCTAGTCAATAGTGCAACATGTATTCGGTTGTTTCTAACTTCACTACATTGGATCCTGACTCCATTTAAAGAAGCACATCTGTCGTGGGGAAATAGCGCATTTCCGCTGCACCCAAACAGTTACATAGTGCCAACTGAACAACACTATTCTTCTCCCTGCTAGTGGGATTGTTGCCACGTAAAGTGGCCTCCAGAATGCGGTTCCACAAGAATCACAAGCGTGTTGAGGTGTTACTGACCTGAGTGTGGTCAGTTATGTGTTGCTCATCAGCAACACAACACGTCACATTACGGGCATGACATTCTGTGAGTTGAATGCCAGCCTTATGTCTCCTAAGATGACACAAGACCTGGAACGAAAAGTCTCAAAACAAAGAGCAGAAAAACTCATTGTGGTTTCAACTTAACCATCAAGTCTCCAAGACTCTGTCTTGAGATTTTATCTGGACTTGTGGCAAGAATAACCTAGAAAGGCCAAAATGAAGCCGGCACATGCCATATGTTAAAGAGATTATTTTTCTTCATTTGATAGCAATACCATGAGGAAAAAAATATAGTAAGATTTAAACCTGAACCCATTTAAATTTATAAGTTTTCAACATCTGGTATCAGAGGCTCTGGATTCCTGAATTATATTTAAGTATACTCTACACCAAGCATCCTTGAATACGTTCTACTGTTAAATGCTTGGTTTTACATGCCTATAATACTTTATACTGAGTGGTATACAAAATCTCAACATATAAAATTCTTTTTTCTGTTTTGCCATAGTTAAACTAAGTTATCAATGTTAAGCGTATAAAATCCCCTTTATTGAAAAATAAGGGCTTTCTCCCTGCCCCTCCCCCAACTGATAGAATAAAAAAAGTTTTCAAAAAATTATATCTTACTAAAATGAAATATTTGGCAAAAGTTATTGTTGATGAATGCAATCTTTACAGAGTCTGTAAAATTCCATATGCAATTCCTTTTACAGGTTTTCCCCTCTAATATTATGTGCCAGTGTATAATAAATGACCTTACTCTTTGAAAAGATGTGGTGAGAGGCACCCTCTGAGGCAGGGACGACACAAACGCGATGGTCAAGATCACAATACAAAGAAGTCTCATCCAATTACACAGTGAGGCAGTAGATTAAAACAAACAAACATTATCAGATAACTCAACAGCTACCTTAGTGAAACTGTGCTGAAGATACTTCTAGTTGGGAGAAATCTTCATGTATAACTTGATACCATAAGGGTATTTGAAATAACTATAGTGCTATCTTGGAACACCTGCCAGTGTTAATTTGTGGTGGAACTATTCAATATTTCAAACCCTCATACTAATTAAGAGATGAAATCTTTGCTTAATTAACAGAAAAAACTGATTCTATTTTTTCCAGTTCTGTACTTAGGTTAAGGCCCAGTTTCCCGCATAACCCTACCTAACTTGACCATGTTAATGGCTGACTAAAATGTGGATTTGAATTGTACCAGGTAGCCTCAGGCTTCCACCTTCTCCTTCTTTTTGTTCTTTTTTAGGAACGATGGAGTACGGAATTTCTTCTTCTTCTTGGAAGGCGATTTGGAAGGAGAGCCTTCAGGAGAAAGGGCCTCCTCAATCTTTTCAGATGTCTTAATTGTAATCTCTACGTTCTCTACAGCAGTAGTTAACTGGCTGACCCTCTGTGCAAGATCCTCTTCTACATCGTGTGCATCTTCTTTGCCATTCATCACAACTGGGAGATCCATAGAGATGAGGTTAGCATCCTGTAGGTAATCATCATTTTCTGTAGAAAGACAAGAGGGAGATGTTTGAAGCTTTGCCTCCACGATTGTTATGCAGCAACTCTACGAAGTATATATTACCATAGATACTCATGTATAAGTTGAGAGGAGATTTGGGGCCAAAATTATGGAATTTTAATTGGCGTATAGCTAAGTTGAGGGTACTTCTGTGAAGAGGGGAAAGCATCAATGTTGCCTCAGGGGGGCAGATGCCATTTCTCCATCCAGGTATTCAAAAAGGCCAGAATCTGTGGCATGACAAAGAGAATAGAGAAGGATAGGTGATTCTTTTAGATTCTCTTTGGATAGACCAAGCTCTTGCCTTTCATTTCTCTGCTGAGGCAAGAAAAGGCTCCTTTTTGATCAGACTTAAGGTACAGTACTCACACTGAACTGTAAGTCAATCCAGATTTTTTCAGTTAAAATTTTGTCTAAAATTTCTGGACTTAATACATGAGTATACAGGGTAAAAGTGGGACTTTCGAATCAAGGTTTTCAGCCATGGCCTGCACACAACTAGGCCATTCAGATTGAACCTCTGCTTAGAATGTGATGCAATGATAAGCTCATTGTTGTAACTGCCTGGCATCATGAGCCAATGTACACAAATAATGTTGAGAAGAAATGTGCTTGCTTTCTTCCTCAAAGCTAGAAATTGTATACCATCAATCTAATGTAGGGAACTATCTCTAAGTGACTTGACCTGGATGATTAATGAAATTACAGATAAAATCTATCCAGTAATTCATATACAGTAGAGTCTCACTTATCCAACCTTCGCTCATCCAACATTCTGTATTATCCAACGCAGTCTGCCTCCCACCCGTATCCACAGCTGTTTCAATACATTGCAATGTTTCAATGCTAAATTTGTAAATACAGTAATTGTGATATAACGTTACCATGTATTGAACTACTTTTTCTGTCGATTTGTTGTAAAACATGATGTTTTGGTGCTTAATTTGTGAAATCATAACGTTAATAGGCTTTTTCTTATTATTCAACACTTTTGCTATTCAAGGTTCTGCTGGACCATTTATGTTGGATGAGTAAGACTACTGTAATTCAGAAATGGACCCATAGGGAAGTTCTGATAAATCCAAATGGATTCTTAAAATACAAGATGCAATAAAATATATGATCAGGGTATTTTATTTTCTTTGTCTCCTTGAAATAATTAACTGGCAAAGAAGTGTAGAATTGGCTCACAATATTGCAGAGGACATTTACACTGTGTACCTTCTAATTTGTCAGGGACATTTTGTGGGGACTGAGTTTGAGAGTTAATTTGTGAAACAGATGACCCGCCATCTGAGAAAATTTCCTGATCAGCATCTGTAGGACAAGAGCTTGAGTTAGTAAAGCCATGCCAAAATAACGGAATGCAAAAAGATCAGTACACATTAGTGCATACAAAACACAAGCAACTTTGTTAGCACTGACCTGACCATGCTAAAGTTATCTCACGGAATGAGTTTAGGTTACAAATTTCAAGGTATTAGTCAACGACGATTAGAATTAACTATTACTAAATGTACACAAAAGATGGCCCCAAATATTTAGAAGAAAGCATTCCATGAAAACATACTTTGGTTAAACCATGGAACTGTTGCTTATAAAATAGACAGAGCAATCTATGCAACGTTAGTGCTGGAAATGCTAGTGTTAGGTAACAGTAAATAGTAGTTTCTGTTAGACCTTATCAGATGCTTTGAATGGAGATGGGTGAAAAAGTTGGTTGAAATACAATACTTTTACCTTTGAATCTTTATGCTTTCAAAAATAAGAAATTGGCAAGTTAGAAGGCTGCTAGCTATAATGCTAAAATTGTAGGCAAGAGAACAGACTAATAACAAACGGTTTGCTTACCTTTAAACCTGATTAAACTGTTTAAAAAACCCTGGTTTCAATTACAATTAACCTTTTTAAAAAACATGCTGACATGATCTCACACTAGTAATATGGGAAAGTAATACAATCGCAGATCAGATGCCACCAAATGCTGCCATACATTTTTATATGCACCAGGAATTTGCAGGTGAGGATCACACAGAATGATATTGCAGAGGAGGTTGGTCCAAGGGGAGGTTTTGGGCTGATGGGCAGATGGAAACAGTGAGGTGGAAGCAGGATTAAATGGAGTAGGAAAGAAACTAAAGAAGCATGATTTGGAAGAAAGGCCCAGGAGAAAGCAGCCATCAGTTCAGAGGAAACAGGGAAAGGTTAGGGGAAAATATGCAATGCTTAGGTCATTGAGAGATGCTGTAGAGAAAAGTAAGGAGACTGGAGTGGATAAAGTTCATGATGTAAATTGGCCCAAGTTTATAATGCAAAGAAACAGTGGTCTGAACAGAAAGAGAAAGGTGATGGGAAAATAAATAAACATCAATGGTGTAGTATGAAGATAAAAGGTAAAGGTTTCTCTTTGACATTAAGTCTAGTCATGTCCGACTCTGGGAGGTGGTACTTGTCTCTATTTTTAAGCCGAAGAGCCGGTGTTGTCTCCAAGGTCATGAGGCCAGCATGAGTGGTACCTATTGATCTACTCAGATTTGCATGTTTTCAAACTGCTAGGTTGGCAGAAGCTGGGGCTGACAGCAGGAGCTCACCCTGCTCCCTTGATTTGAACTGCCGACCTTTTGGTCAGCAACTTCAGCGGTTTAGCCCGCTGCGCCACCAGTGGCCCCTTGTATGAAGATATATAAACGTATTTCCAAATCATTGATGTTTCAGTAATGATTGATCTGGGACAGTGCAGACCCTGGTGTCCAAATTAATAATCCTCCTGGGACCACAGATCACATTTATTAATCTCATATTTTAATCTTCATTGGTTGAAACAGATTCTAATATATAGTTTTCAAATCATAATGGTCACAATGAGAGGAGAACACATAACCCCCTCCCATCCAAATAAAAGGGGCCATGGCGACTAATCCTGGTAACTGCTATGATGCGGTGGTCTCCACATACATTTTTTCTTGTACAAAGAACATGCAAGGATGGACCCTGGCCAATCAATTTTTTTCCATGCCCTCAGAAGGTCACCAGATGTATTGTATTTACTTGAGTATAATGGATCTTCAAAATTTCCCCCTCTGTTTTAAGAGCGTCATAAATGAGGTCAGTTGGGAATCATGTAGAAGTGAGCCCTTGTGTGTGTGCATGTGAGAGAGAGAGAGAGAGAGATAGGGAGAGAGAGAAAGGGAAAGAGAGCGCGCATGAGGACTACACCAGGATGCAGTAAGGGAGACACTTCCTGCTCCTTTATCCACCTCAATTTTGGCAATGTAATTTAGCCAAAGGAAGTCAGCATTAGACTTTGTCTTCCAAAGAAAGACAAATGGACATGGATTAGGAAGTATGTAAGGACACACATATGTAGGAGGCATACAGGAATGAGAGTTTTTCCTAAAACACAAATGAGTAAACAAGAACTCTTAAAAATGATGTAGTAATGCTGCCATTGATCACTGCTTAGCGTAATGAAATGTAATTTAGAAATACATCTGACATTTATTTTCAGTTCGGTCACGCCAAACTGTGTTCGCCTTAAACCAAACTGCTCCTGGAAACTGTCAGGTGCTCAGAAAGCTCACCCTCTATCCCTTGTTGTTTGCGTTCAATTGTCTTTTTGTACTCTTCCAGTTCCTTTTCTGTGAGATGGCTGAATGGGTTGGGAGGGGCTGGTGGGGCATGCTCATCTTCTTCAAACTGCATGGGCTGGAACAGAAAAAGAAAATACTCCAGGAAGTAGAACTCAACTCAAGAAAAAAAAAAACCAATACAGGCAAACAAACAAGTCCATTAAATCCCCAAATCTAGCAGCAGTTGGAAAATAATAACAATAACAACAATAACAATAACTAAATAAATAAATAAATAAATAAATATAAAAACAACAACAACAACATTTTATTTATATTCTGTTCTATCTCCCCAAGGGGACTTAGAGTGGATTACAACATACACAGAAACACTGCTTAAAGAGGAATCTCAAAGACTGAACTGAAGCATTTAAAATGCAGCCATCAAGACATAAATTGACAGATAATTATGAAGACATGGAAGCTGATTTAACTGGTACATCATACCAGTTCTAAGTCAAAAGAAAGTTTAGGTTGCAAATATAAAACCTAGAAAGAATGTTCAAACTATTGTCGAAGGCTTTCATGGCTGGAATCACTAGGTTGTTGTAGGTTTTTCGGGCTATTTAAAATGTTCTAGAAGCATTCTCTCCTGACGTTTCGCCTGCATCTATGGCAGGCATCCTCAGAGGTTGTGAGGTCAACTTCTGAGGATGCCTGCCATAGATGCAGGTGAAACGTCGGGAGAGAATGCTTCTAGAACATGGCCATATAGCCCAAAAAACCTACAACAACCCACGTTCAAATTCTTTTTAAGACTGCATTATAAAAGAATGGTTAGAAGTGTCTGTAATTATAATTCTGTAATTATAATTCATTCATCATGTTGCCTCCCCACATGTTTGTTAGAACAAGCTTTCAAAAAGCAAGGAGGTAGATGCTTGCAGATAAGAGTCTCACTTATCCAACCTTCGCTCATCCAACGTTCTGTATTACCCAATGCAGTTTACCTCCTGCCCGGATCCAGAGTTGTTTCAATACATTGCAGTGTTTTGGTGCTAAATTCGTAAATGCAGTAATAACTACATAACGTTGCTGTGCTTTTTCTGTTGATTTGTTGTAAAACATGATGTTTTGGTGCTTAATTTGTAAAATCATAATGCAATTTGACATTTAATGGGTTTTTCCTTAATCCCTCATTATCCAACATTTTTACTTATTCAACATTCTGCTGGTCCGTTTCTGTTGGATAAGCAAGACTCTACTATAATTCCAAACCAAGTTCAAGGACAAATGCTGCACAGGTTTCATTGGTTCATGTTTTTAGTCTGTACAGTGGATATACTTACAGCACTAGGCTTTTTATCCACCACAATCCCAGCAAGCAACTGAGACTGTGGGCCTGCAGTCTTTAAGTCAAACCGATTCTGCTCCCGAATCTGGTGAAGAAAAAAAGGCATTTTTTTCAAAGTACCCAATATCTCAATCTCAAAATCTCATTGAAACATGAATTAAAGAACTAGGCTTTAGAAAATAAATGCTAGGTCCAATCTACCGACTTAGTGTTATTTGCTCTTATTCCAGATAGTACGGTCATAATGCTTGCTAATCCTTACAAATGTATCTGAATCTGAATATTTTTGCTTGAACATGCTGTTTGCAGTGTTCTGTATATTCACAATAATTCAACATTAACCTTGTTGTATTAGTTTTCCTTCATATTCATATTTCTGAATCATGGGTTCTCAGAGGTTGTGAGGTCCTCACAACCTCTGAGGATGCCTGTCATACATGCAGACGAAACATCAAGAGAGAATGCTTCTAGAACATGGCCATCCAGCCCGAAAAACCTACAACAACCCATTATTCTATAGCTTCCCATTCCGACATTATGACTGTGTGTATATGTGCATTCAAGTTGTATGCTCGACCTGATGAATTTAGAGTTTTCTTAGTCTAGGAATACTCAGAGGTGGTTTTGCCAGTTCCTTTCTCTGGTATTCACTGGCTATCTTCCATCCAAGTGCTAAGTGCAGCTGACCCTGCTTAGCTTCCATGATCAGGTGGGATTTAGTATCTTTAGGGTATTATTTTGCCTTCAAGTTGCCTGCTGACTTATGGCAACTCTATAGGGTTTTCTTGAGTAAGGAATATTTGGATGTGATTTTGCTAGTTCTTTCCTCAGAAATACAGGCCAGCTTCCATCTGCCTAAGAAAGCTGTGTGCCTAGAACTGATAATACTATTCTAAGCTGATGTCTGGGTGACATTGCCGAGTTGATCTTTTCCAAGTAAGGGATAGCATTTCTTCTGAACCAAGTTGCCTCCCTCAGGGTAGTGGCGTAGCCCTTTGATCACTAGCAGATGTGAAGTAAGACGTTCTCAGAATTTCTGGATGAAACATTATGTATCTGGCAGAACAATCATTTCCCAGGGTGTAGCTCGAATTTGTATGAATATCAAAGAATACATTGGGGAGAAAAAGCAGCCAGCAGTCTGGGCTTATAAAGAATCCCTTGTCATTATTCCTCACTGCTATTGTTAAGTACATTAGCTGACTGGGAATGAAGGAGGCTGAGAACAGCAGGGACCACAGAACTGACTACCTCCTCTCCAAATACTAAAAAGGAAGAGGAAAACTCCAAACTACTGGAGTGTTAAAAAACGAGTATATAAAATGTAACACGAAACGTTTGCTTTCATAATTAGGTTGGGATTTTTGGATAGGGCTTGAAACCATGGATTTCCCATAATGTTTATAGAAATATTTAAGGGCACTACTGTCACCCCTCCACATCTGTTGGTTAAGTATTTGTGAGTTTGATTATTTGTGAATTAATGTATAAATAGAATTGTAAATAATACTTTTATCTGAGAGAACACTTCTTTAGGCCTCTGGCACAATTCTACATTAGAAGTTGAGGTATGATCATGTGGGAGGACCGAGAGCTGTTCTCTCTCAAGTAAAAAAGAACAACATTTGTGATCTTGATTTATATTCTCAATTTTTCCACTTTCATGGGGGAACTGCACTTCTGTAAACATGGGGGGCCAGCAGTAAACTGTTCTATTAGCACTCAATCTAAACGTAAAACTCTAGCTTACTTAAAACACTATGAAACAATTTTAATGGTATTCCAAACAGGAAAATGTAACCACATTCCCTTATTAGTCTGTTGCTCAGAATTGAATGAAGTAGATCTATCATGAAACTTGTACCTTATTCCTCTTTTGTAATACATCGCTTGGGTTTGTATTCATAGGGACAAACTGGTTTGGATCTTCAATTTTGATTGGGGTCCCTCCAGTAATTTTAGATGAATCTTCAGCTTTTATCCACTGGGATAATTAAAAAACAAAAAAACAAAAATGTAAAGTTATAAGAGGTTATGTTTAGGTAAAATTTTGGGCCACATGGCCTACAATTTGCACTTAGCTACAAAACTATACTTCCAATTACTTCAGAGTAGGAAGCATGTAGTCCAGATGTTGCTGGACTGCAACTCCTATTAGTCATAGTCAACACAACCAATGGTGGGAAATGCTGGGGCTTGCAGCCCAATATGATCCAGAAAGCTGCATATTTCCCATACCTGCAGTATTACATTTCATAAGGATATAAATGAATGAATGGTTTATTGTACTAGCCATAAGCCATGACACCAAATAATATACAAACTTTAAAAGTGCAATAAGCACTTTCCAATATAAACATTAACTTATTCTATATACTGGCTCTTTCAAATTATAGTAGCAGTGACATAACAATAATAATATCAAATGTCTGATTTGTATCATCCCAACCTATCGCTGTTTCCATTTCTAGCCTCCACTGTGGAAGCCAAGGACACTTTATAAGGACATCAATGTTTAATGTTGCTTTAGTTTGAACAGCTTTGTGATATTAAGTATCATTTAAATTTTAATGTCGCAGGTATACATTTTAAACACTTGTAGAAATTTCACTGCTAAAATACTATCCCAATAGACTAAACATAACCTGGTATGTCTCAAGTCACTGCCTTGATAATGTTCCCTCCAGTTTGTCTCATTGTCCTGCTTTCTGAGTACTCATTTTTAACAAATGGAATTTATTGACCACCAGGTGGAGAACTACAACTGCTATTTTGAAGTGTATGCTGCCATCAATTACATGATAACTGTCCTGTTCCACATAATACGCAATTCTTTTAGACATGCTGACTGTATAATATTGAAAAAGTGAAACACTCCTCTTAAGAAAATGAAGTGAAATACTCATCAAAAAAGCAAATCTTCCCTTTTCTGACCAGAGTGGCAAAAGGCCTTTTTAAATGCTTGAACAATAAAATGGTAGAGCTAGGGGCAGCTGGCCTTCTCAAGGTGGTGATGGTGCTTTCCTTTCTCTGCAGAATGACCACTGACATATCCATGGACTGTATAAAAATCCGTAATGTTTACCCTAAAACCTGCTCTCAGCTAATACTTGAAGCCAACCTATTCCAAGTGAATACAGGATAGGACTGATAAATTTTATCAATCCTTGCTCATGGCAAAAATATGTAATCTGAATAATTCTTTTGAGAAGAACATGGCATAAAACAATGATTCTCAACCTGTGGGTCCCCAGGTGTTTTGGCCTACAACTCCCAGAAATCCCAGCCAGTTAACCAGCTGTTAGGATTTCTGGGAGTTGAAGGCCAGAATATCTAGGGAACCACAGGTTGAGAACCATTGGCATAAAGTCTTCAAGGAAGCTAATAATTTAGTGCTGGTTATTGATGAAGTTGATAAGCCTGGAGAAATCAACAGTGATCAGGGATGAATACCATCAAAAGACTGAGGCAACTTCTGAGGCTATATATTATCAACTTTTGGGAGGATGGATCCCAGAAAAGAAAATGATTCCATGATCAATATAATGATTGAGGCTTCTCTTTTGGGTCATTATAGATGAGTTCACACTGGAAATTCTTTTGAATCCCTGGGCACCTGTCATTTACATACTAACACCACTCCTCCCCCCAATTTCTGACTTTAACTCTGTGCTGGAATCCCTTTCCCATATATTGCCTCTTTTTTTCCCTTCAAAGACTCGCGTTGTGAGGGAAACTAAACACTTTATAAATAAGGCGAACAACATCATTATTCCAAGTGATGTAATCTTAGTTACCACACATCAGAATTCTGCATGATGACGTGTGTGGGATAAATGAGTCTGCTTTAAATTAACATATATCTTATAACTTCTCACTTGTTTCCTTTTGTAACTAGTGGGCTTCATCTTTAAATATATAGCTATATATTTTCCAAGATTTCCAGCCATTTCTATTTTGAACTAAAGAAATTGCCATGGGCAATAGTGTTGCATCCTCAGTAGTTAATTTGTTTAAGGCATTTTTAAGGCTTTCTTCATTGTCCAGCTTTCACAACCATACATACAAATTGGCAAAAGAATAATATGAACAATTCTGACTTTGCTATTTAATATGTCTTAATCCTCTCAATTTTGCTTAATGATTGAGTCAAGATACAAGAAATCCTTAACTAAACTGTTCCAGCCCAGCTTATCTGTCCAAACGTATCTCCCTCTATGATCCACCTCGAAGGCTAAGATAGTCAAGGGGGGCCCTGCTCTCGGTCTCACCTCCCTCTCCACGTGACTGGTGGGGACAAGAGACAGGGCTTTCTCAGTGGCGGCCCTTTCTCAGTGGTGGCCCTTTCACTCTTCAGTGAAATTAGATTGGCCCCCTTCCTTTAGAAAACAAACAAACTAAAAACTTGGCTCTGGGATCAGACTTTTGGTCAATAATGGGAGCAAGGCAATAAGAGATTAGGAATTAATTGTAATGATGTAATGACTGGCCTTGGAATATGACCTGGACTATCTGATTTTAATTGTTGTTTCAGTTTTATGTTTTAGTTGGATGGTTTTTATGTTTTGTTTATCCACTGATGAATGCGATACTGAATTGTTGCCTTTGTAAGGCCACCTTGAATCCCCTTCGAGGTTGAGAAAGGCAGGATACAAGTATGATAAATAATAAATAAATAAACAAACAATGTCAATGTTTTTGTTAGACTCTTTGATATTCTGTAAATCAGCCGTGGTCATTATTTTTGCCTTCCTAATATTTAACCACAACCGTGCTTAACTTTCATCAACAAGCATTCCAACTCTTTGCTATTTTCCGATGCATAATATGGTGTGGCTTATGTTTCTCCCAATTTTCTTGCCTGCTTCCTCTGAATCTAATCCTATTTTCTCTATAATGATTTGCATGTAAATTAAGGAGATCATACTTTGATTCAGTCTGACATAGATTTTCATTTTTTGAGAGAAGTGAAGCATTTTATGGGCAGAGAACGTGTTTTGCATGCTCATTATTCAAATCATCACTGTTGCCATGTAAAACCTGAAATCCCAAGTCCTAGCCCCATTCTTTTAGAATATTCAGTACAAATCACTACAAACAGCTTACTGTGGTTTTAGTCCGGGGACTTGTTTCACCATTCCGGGATTCTTCGGGAACATCCACTTTCAAATATGTATTTGGGGAGTTTAACCACCTTGTCTTCTCCCGCTGCTGTTTTTGTGCTAAGAATTTGAGAGGGGAAATTGGGATAGAATCATCTTCAAAGGAGAAGGCAGTCACGGTGGCTGGGATCTCAACATCACTTTTGTGCCTTGGTTTTTCCCTTACTAAGGGTTGCCGATAAGCATAGCCTGTTCTGTAACCCTGCAGAAAAATGGAAGAAAAATACAATTATTGTACTTCAACACCAAAACCTTGATCATAACATAAATGCTAATTCATTTGATTTTCAGTGTAAAATTTCACGGCCTCGTGAATGCAAAATCAATGCCTTCAGCATTAATTTAAACACAGTTTTAAGAATAAAAGCAACATATTTCAAGATTGTACTCTAGCATTGTTTCATGTGACAATCTGTATATGTGTGTATATATATGTATGTTTGAGTGTATATATATATATATATATGTGTGTGTGTGTGTGTGTGTGTGTGTGTATGTATATATATATATAGAAAGGAAAGCTTATCATCTGTGACAATCTATAGCGTAGATATCTATACCATCACCAATGAGCTATCACAAAACTGGCTGTAGAACAAGCCCAACAGTAGTCTTGTGCATTTGTATAGAATCACAATCCATTTCTGTTTGTTTCATTTGTAAGACCCCATCTTTGTGCATCTCTCTTGAAAATGGGCGCCTTTCCAAATGAGCTTTTTTGTCCAAGGTCTGAGAAAATGAATATTTTGGTTCACTGGCAGCAAGGGACGAGCTTCCCACATTCCCCTTCCCCTCAGTTATAGGGCTAGTGCTCGGTGCTTGGCTGCAGGCCCTGGTGCTTTGGGCCTGCTCGTGACATATGAACTCTCTTTGTCAGAGAGTATGTGTGTGGGGAGCAGGCCCAAAGCACCTGCATCTGCCAGGGTCTATAGAAAAGTACCGAAAATCAGCCAACCGAATGGTTACCACTCTCATTTTCCTTTCATTTCACTTGATATTTCCGTACCGGAGGGGGAGGGGTGTAGTGTTTCCTGCCTTCCAAATGAACAAAACGTATGAAAACACGAATTAAATGGAACAATAACTGGGCCCATGATTACCCAGCAGTATAAGAACTTCAGAGCACAGGCCTCATGAAAGGATGGGAATCTTTACTTTCTTCCAACGTAATGCTTTTCATGAACTAAACAAACATTACAACTGGCCAATATTGGCTCTTGTTGTTGGGATCTGTCTCTGAATGTCTGGAGGTCACTGGTTTGGGGGAAAGAGGGTGAAAAAGCGATATATGAATAAAATATTCTCAATTAAATATTTAATTATTGCCTCAATCTCAACTAAATCAAGTTATCTGTTGGTTATTTTAAAAAAAAGATGGAAGCTTTGTTTCCATCTTTGTGATTTCCAATCATACCAAAGGCACTCTACAAATTGGCCCAATGTTCTAATTGTAAAAGGGTGAAAAATCCAATTTATGAGTTAATGCCAGCACGTACATTGACTAGTTTATAACAATATATATATATATAAACATTTATACATGTGCTATTGCAAGTGTATCCAACAAAGTATACAGACGTGTACAACAATGTAACAGTTTCAAGGTTTGCATTTGTTTTTCTTACAAGTACTGCTATCAGTGTAGAAAAGATACTACATGGGAGAAAGTGATGCATTTGCTAACTGAGGAAGAAAAATATGTACTTTCAATGTTTATGGGAGGAAAAAGAACTGTTTTACAGCACATAAAAAGAAGTAATTGGCTAGTTTGTACAGCAAACTTAGCATATGTTCTATTCGTACATCAAGATCTGCACCCTTCCCATGCTACCCATGGCAAGTTGGCCACTGGTACAAGGTGGCCTTTGCAGTGATATTATCTCAATTAAAGAATGCTCTTCCAAGGAAGACTTGCCTAGCACCTATCTTAATGTCACTTTGTGCCAGGAGCCTCCTCCCACTATTTTTGGGACATCCAGTTATATCTGATATACTTTATTGAATCTATATTTGTTTTTGCTATGCTCTTTTTATTTTAATTCATTTTAAAATGTATTTTTAAAATTATTATTTTTATTTATTTATGACGGGAGTTATTTTTTTAAAAAACTTACTAACAAAAAACTTGAGACTTTTATAGGTCAGGGGATACTTGCTTGAGTCAACCCATTTATATCTAAATAGTGAGAGCAGTTGTACAGAGAGATTAGAAACAATGTATTGTGAATGCAGGCTAAACCTACTTTATAATGGTCCCTGTTTATTGGGAAAAGAAGAGATATCACAATTTCTTTCTGGCACCGTATAGAACTACGAATGATAGTGCACGTACCAGGTTGTCCAGCATCCTCATCAGCGCTTCAAACTCGAGTTCCCCGACTTTCCATTTCACCTGAGAGGCCATGTTAACTCCTATTTCTGTTGCCACAAAGTGTGTGACTGGTTTATACTTCTGCAAGTCTAGAGTAAGAAGATTGTCTATGCCGCCTGCAGCCAAGGCATGTACCTGTGACATAAAATTACTCAGTAATTTGCACTTCTACAAATAATATTTGAAGGCTCAAAATGCTTTTTTGTACCCATCCTGACTCTCCACACCGAAACTTTGCCCAACCCTAGGAATGGTAGATAGTTTAAATATGTCTCCACCCCACAATAATGAAAAAGCAGAAGTTACTTCCAGTTGCAGCCTGTTTTTGAAGACAGTGTGGAGTGGTGAAAATTAGCCTCCATTCCTGTTCTAAAGTTTGGTTTGGATAAATACTAGAGCAAGAGCTGTAATTTTTTGTGTTCTGAGAAACTACTGATGTTCCATAAATTAAATATATAGGTAAGTAAAAGTAAAAGTTTCCCTTTGACATTAAGTCTAGTTGTGTCTGACTGTTGTGGGTGGTGCTCGTTTCCATTTCTAAGCCAAAGAGCCGCCGTTGTCCGTAGACACCTCCAAGGTCACGTGGCCAGCATGATTTCATGTAGTGCCCTTACCTTCCAGCTAGAGTGGTCCTATTGATCTACTCACAATTGCATGTTTTCAAACTGCTATGTTAGCAGAAGCTGGGCCTAGCAGCGGGAGCTCACCCCACTCCCCAGATTTGAACTGCTGACTTTTTGGTCAGCAAGTTCTGCAGCTCAGCAGTTTAACTTGCTGCTCCACCAGGGGCCCCTAAAATATACAGGTATCCTCTGCTTATCTGATGGCTTAGAGACCAGGGTACTGTCAGAATCTACATATTATAAGCACAAATATTGTGCTTATAAGCAAGAATATAGGTGTGAATACTGTATTATAGGCCCTCTGGTGGAGCAGCAGGTTATACCGCTGAGCTGCTGAACTTGCTGACCAAAATTAATGGAGATAAGCACCACCACCTAGCGTCGGCCATGATTAGAATTTACTACTGTATTATAAGCACAAATACCGTAAAAGAAATTCACTGCCCTTAATTTCTAGGAGACTCAGTAGGAATGACTTCTATAAGTGTATACAGACTAAATAAAAAGATGATGCTGACTCAACTCAAAGGTAAAAAAAAGAAGCTCTGCACGGTTGCAAAAGGGGTGTGCAAACATGACAAAAAGCGAATCAAGTGTCACATATACAGATTCTGAGTTTAACTGAAAATAATAGGTGAAAAGCAGCACCAGAAAGTGGGGTGTCTGCATTACATCTTCTCTATACTCCATAGATTTCCTTTAAATAACTGCTTAGTACCCACTGCTTAGTACCTATCCTCTTAAAACACACACTGACTAACACCAAAAGATTGCATTTAAACAGCATTTTCAAATATTTAAAATATCTCACAGAAAATCTCTCACCTGTGTTTCACAAGCTAATTGCACATTATAGATGTAGTGGAAGGCTTCTTCTAATGTTTCTCCCAGTGCAACTACCCCATGGTTTCTCAAGACCAGCACCTAAGAAAGGGAAATGCTCATAACCGACAAAAACTGGGCACGTAGTGGAAAAAAATAAAGAAAAACATTAACTAGAGTGGAATACCTTACAGCTTGGCCCAATAACTTTCTGGAGTTGAATTCGCTCTTCTTGTTCATCTAGAGATCCTTGATAATTGTAGTAGGCAATGTCCCCCAAAATAAGAGCCTCCTGAGAGATGGGTAGAATGCCACACTTCATGGAAGAAACCTGTTTCAAATAAATAAAAGAAATTCGAAAACAATGTAAGATCTCAAGATATAGATGTATATATGCAAAGCATTTACCCTGTGAATGAAATCCAAAACTAAGGGGTGGGCCAAAAGTCACCTGATATTTTAATTACTTTTTGACTTTTTTTTTTGGAAAAGATTTTACATGCACTGTACTGTACTGTATTTTTTTTGTCGTGTCAAGAGCAACCGCTCCTGTTGTGAGAGAATTGACCGTCTGCAAGGACGTTGCCCAGGGGACGCCTGGATGATTTTTGATGTTTTATCATCCTTGTGGGAGGCTTCTCTCATGTCCCCGCATGAGGAGCTGGAGCTAATAGAGGGAGCTCATCCGCCTCTCCCTGGATTCGAACCTGCGACCTGTCGGTCTTCAGTCCTGCCGGCACAGTGCTTTAACCCACTGCGCCACCGGGGGCTCCACTGTACTGTATTGTCTTATATATACTGTATTTGATGCTATAGTATTTAAATTAAAAACAAAAATAAAAATAGTTATTAAATACTGAACCCCCTTTGTGACTTTTGGCCACCCTGCATTTCAATACAGAAAGACAAGGACTCCTATTCAGTAGAGAAGAACCTGTCAACACAGTCTTATAGGTAGACTGCCAATATATGGATTTTAAAGCAGATGCAGACAAAAGCAATGGCTTTAGAGAGAGATAGGGAAGAATACCGAAGATCCGTGACCCATTTCAGTTTTCCTAGAGCTTGAAGAATTTATGAAACAAATTACTCCCATGCCTGATTCTACAACAGTGCGCTTCCAAAGTAATCACAAATGTTCAAAAATCCTCTTTGATGTTAAGAGTACACTTACAGCTGCTGTTGCTGGAGTGTGTATGTGGATCACGCATCGCACATCAGGGCGCATGGAGTAGATAGCTGCGTGAGGGCTGAATCCTGCACTGTCAATGCTTAGATTGGTGCTTCCCTGGTCAACCACTTCTCCTATGATGTTTACTTTTACCTGGAAACACAAGGTACGGAATAAGTTAGGAAAACATCTGTAATTATATATGAACCTTGGCTTTTATCAGATATTAAAGTGGAAAAACAGAAGAATGTATTACTAAGAGCACAAGCAATTTTAGTTGGTATTATACTTAAATTCTACTTTATGTGCTATATCTTTGATAAAAAGAACAAGCCTTCAGGAAGAAACCACAGAGTCCCCCAAATGTACAGCACTTAGGCGATCCCTCGTTGGACGAGTAGGATAGTCTTTCACGATGAGTACAGCATTACCTGGCTTGCATTAGGATTTTAATCAGGTAAAACTACTCTACTGTATTATGAAACATGTGTCATACCCCAAGAGGAGTTTCTAGATTAAAAGTAAGCCTTGAGCACCAAACCTTTCTGCAGAGCTTTAGATGAAAGCAAAGAAAATCCTGATATATGTGTGCTTTCCAATAAGATGCTTCAAAAACGTAAAACCTAGGATAGACAGCATCTTGTGAACTGGTCCTCCTTGATCTGACTTGAGCTACATGCACACCAGATCCAGTTAGTATTTTTTTTACTGTATTTATATACTGCTTTTCTCACCCATGAGGGGACTCAAAGTGGCTTCCAACATAATAATGGCAAAATTCAATGCTATACATACATGTAAAAACCAAAACATAGTATCAAGACAATAACGTTTAACTATAAATTAAAAACATTAACCATATTAAAACATAAAGAATAAACATTTAGACATTAAAACGTAAAATTAAAACACCAATAATACAATAACATTGAAATTAAAACCAACCCATTAAAAGAACACAATTTGGAAATTATTAAAATCATGCCATCCAGAATCATAATCTGAAGGCATTCAATTGGTCTGTTCACTATTCCTTATTCTCTTCTTGCACTAAAAAAAATTGCTATCCGAAAACTTGGTCATATGCCTCGAAAGAGTCATATAGTACTTGGACAGGAGATCCAATGAACCCCAGGCTATATTTCAGAGGAAAGAACTGGCAAAGCTACATCTGACTATTCCTTGCCTAAGAAAACACTATGAAATTCATGGAGTTGCCATAAATCAACAGGTGGCTTAAAGGAACATACCCAAAACAACTGCATTTTCTAGTTTATCAAGCACATACCAAATTGGAAGCAGAAGCTTCAGAAAATGATAGGCCTCTTGGAATGATAAGGATGTGATCATGTTCTTTGCTTACTCTTACCTGGAAATAAACATGAAAACACTGCTGTCATATCATCAAAACAGTATGTTTAATTCATATGTAATTCAAAGGGTTGAGTGGGTTAGAACAGATAAAGGAGGAAGGATACTCACAGTAATATATGAATTTGGCAAGTGTGCCCATCCAAACAAATCTGTCACCCTATACAAACTGGCTAATTTACAACGAATAAGTTTTTCTCCTTTAACAAATGCAGTGGTATCGATCCCAGCTAGGTCATTGATGGCTGTGATCAGTCCAGTACCTAAAATAAGTTGTATGCATTTAATAATGATATTGGTTCCAAGGAAAACAATTAGAAATCAATAACATGACATACAATATCTTAATACTGTTTAGTAGTTTAAGCTTCTGAAAATGATTTTGAACAAGATTTCTCTTTTAAGTTGTGGATGAAAGAAAGTGCCTGAAGATGCCACTGCACAATTTCATGCTATCTCTCTGCCTCCTGACGGCATTAAGTACAGAAAAAAGCCACTCCATTAACATTTTCCTAGCCCTTAATCAACAAGTAGTTTGGTGTGACGAAAAAGTTTCCAATACAGAAGAGAAAATTATTTCAAATTTCCTATTTCTTTTTGATATCATTTCTCTAAAGATTTTGCCACGATAATAAATCAAGCCAATGTTAAAAAAAAAAGCAGCAAATTAACAGGATAGGCCTATCTATAAAAGAAAATCTTCGAATTGTTATTAAATTGCATACTTACTTAGAGGGGAGGAGGAAAATCCTGCAAAAGAGCTTGCCATAATATAGTCAGCAATTTGCTGCAAGGCAAGCAATCCACTTGGGTTATTGCCTTTCTTCATCTGCTCTTGTATAAGCGATTCCAAGTCCTCCCGAAAAGCCTGTGAAGATACGAAAAGCACTTAACATATCCCTTAAGAAACACCAGTTACAAGTTTCTTCTTTCCAAAACTGATACTAATTGGTTGACTTTTTATGTTCACTTCAAACCTAAAAGATCTTGTACTGAAATTCAACGCAGTTTTCCTTAGTACGGGTTGACTGTACTTTGGTTGCTGCTAATTTATTGCAGTAGATAGAGTCCAAGAGAAGGAGAAGAAATTATTTGGTAGCATATTGAAAAAGTACTCTTATTTCAGTATCTTTTTGCTTCCTGTGATAGAGTTCATGTTCAATGATAAAAAATAGTTACCAATCAACAAATTTAACTAGTCTAACTTGAGGGTAATGTCTAGAAAGATCATGAACTGGGCTTTCTTCAGTGTTCTTTGCTTTAGAAGGATTTTGAAGACTGGAAAAAAGAAAGTAGAACACACATATCTTGTGGTAGTTTTTTTGCTGATGAATGTCCTTATATTTGGACAAGAAGGAAGGCAAGAGAGGGGGCCGAGGAGAGATCTCTCTGTGTAACGTATCAACTTATCCCAAAAATGTCACTTTCTCTCGTGCTGACATTTTGTCCTGTCCTCCTACTCCTAACTCCAATAAGCAACACATGTATATTATGCTATATTCTGCAACACAAGACTTGAAAACAGTTACATTCAAGTATTTGGAACTATCCCACAAACAGAACAGCTACTGATAAAATACTGGAAGGCATTTCTAAATGAAATCAAATGTACAAGTTAGAAAGATAATTCTTATGTGAGTTTCTACAGTCACCAGCATAGGGGTGCAGTGCCATATGAGTTTTTACAGTCACCAGTGTAGAGGTGCAGTGCCCCTATAAAAGTGGGGGGAAAACACACAAATAAAAAACAACACTTTTTAAAACTCAAGAGACCATCTCCCTAGGAATCTCTAGGTCTTCTAGTTCAACTTTATGATCAGTCTCCAGCGGTCCACCTCCAGAAGTTGACTATAGAGTCACACTGGAGGATCTAGAGATTCCCAGAGGGAATATATTAATCAAACCCACAAATGTGGAGGGTTTGGAATTATAGTACATTAAACAATAGCAACGTACTGCAGCTGCTTTGTGATTATTCTCTTTGAAGTGAATTCTACTGTGACACTCCATGATGCTGCTGAAATGCTTTGTCTTAATACAGTGGTTCTCAACCTGTGGGTACCCAGGTGTTTTGGCCTACAACTCCCAGAAATTCCAGCCAGTTTACCAGCTGTTAGGATTTCTGGGAGTTGAAAACCAAAACATCTGAGGGCCCACTGGTTGTGAATTACTGTCTTAATATAAATATCAAGAGACATCAATTAAGGCTGGAAAGTTATTTTTGATTATCTCGTTGTTAAAAGTAACCTTGTTGCTTCATCTCACAAGTGCATATTAGTTTTTAAATACAGCATTTGTTGAAATATATTGAGCTTTTTTTCTTTTCTTGTTGTAGGAATCAATCCTTACTTTTTGTTAAGTGTCTCTAGATATAAATATGGAGGATCACGTAAATATTCAAAAGGCACCTGAGAAACCTGTATTTGGAAAATCTGGTGGAAACATTGTATTACTTACTTTTTATATCATTCATCCATTTCTCTTCCTTTCCTACTTCACTTTATTATCTAAATCAGGGGTTGGAAAATATCTGAGATCCAGGTACTACATCTCAGAGGTTCGCTTTACCCCACTACACCTCTTTCACCCCCATCATTAAAAAATTACTTAAAAGATTAATTATGCAAGATCCAGATGGGACCCTTCCATCTTTTGTGTCTAAAATATCCACCACTTCAAAATGTTGTAAAATTGCCCTATTCCTGCTAAAATGTGTAGGAGTCATTATGAGTACAAATAATTGTGAGCTTTAAAAATGACACTGGTGGGTTGCACAAGACCTAATTTTTAGAGCTCAGAAGATCTGAAGGACTTTATCTCCTTCCCTGAACAAAATCTTTCATCATGTGGTTTCAAATTAGATTTATTTGGTTAGTTTGTATCCTTCATTTCTGCATAGGTGTGACCAATATGGCTTGGTTAAAAGGAAAACTTGGCTAGCCTTACCAAAAGTAATCAATGCTGGTGGGCAATATGGTGGGTACAAGTGATTTGTTCACACATTGTTCGTTGGCTGGAAATCCTACTAAGAACATGGGTTCCATTGCTCTTGGGATTAATACATCTGTATACTATGTCGTGCGGTCCCTCCCCCATCAGCTGCTCCTCATCTCTACTTTTTTCTCTGACTACAATTTAACTACATAAATATGTTTCCATAAATATCTTGAAGACTAATCAATAATTTAATATATATGGAGCTACAATCTCAGATGGAGCTTCTTGGAGCTCATGAACTAAGTGAGCCCCTTCCCGCATTCATGGGCACTGAATTGCTCTATTAGTCACAAGCAGTAATAGTTTTAACTGGCCTGATTTTCTCAGCTAAATTACACTTGAATGTTGACAACTAAATGAATAAAGATGAAATAAATACTACTAAATGTAATTCATCTGGATTTAGTAACAGCAAAAAAACCAAAAAAACAAAACCCAACCTTTTTATACTATGTCTATGTAAGACATTCTAAGTGGTTTGGCTATGAATACCATATTATTTAGTAAAACTATGGGGAAACCACAAATAAAGGGGTGATAAGTGGAAAATGTTGAAGGAAGTAATAATCTAAAGTCTTAATTTTCTGCAATGGGACATTACTAAAACTATTAAGATTATTCCAAGTCTGCAAAAAGAAAGGAGAGGTCAGGAACACAGGGAGGAAAATTTGGTTAATTTGTGCTAGTACCAGTATAACAGATAATAAAGGCTCAGAGTTCTTACTCTCTGGAAATTGCTGATAACCAGATCTCACTAGCCAGTCTAAAATTAGAGGTAACTAAAAGCTCTCCACAAAACATTTTATGTAACACAGAAGGAGCAAGGGGAGTCCCTAACTGACATGGAAAAAAGCAAGAAAGAACCAGCGAATGTCTTTTCTAAGACATCGTCATAAATTACTTATAGATGTAAGCCATTTTCAGTTCCCTCAGCTTATCTAAAACTCTCATACATCTATCCACTCAAATATGGATTCAGTCAGAAAACTCTCTGCTATCTTTTCTCTCCCTCTAAATGCCATCACTTATTTTTGTTATCTATGAACCAAAATGCACTCTCTCTCTCACACACACACACAAAACAATGCTTCCCTACAAGCAAGCACCCTTTCTAACATCTCAATATTTGCACCCCATGTACCCCATGCATTACATTAACACTTCCTTCTTCCAATATTCATGCCTATCATGCAAACATCTGCAAAAGTGAGGTTGTGTAAATGAAAACTTCCTTTTCAGACATATGTGCTAGACATGTAAGGAGGTGACACAAATTCATGTGAAGTTGGAAAGGGAGGGGCTACCTCCACTAATAAACATCTGAGTAAAACTGTAGCCATATCAAGTGCTGCCTATATTGCATTGTTTGAATAGGTGGGAAAATAGTGTGGTTGATGTGTGCTTTCAAGTTGTTTCCGGCTTACAGCAATCCCAAGGCAAACTTACCATTGTTTTTTGAGACAGGGAGATCTGCACAGCTAATATAGCTATCCCTGAATAGGTTTCCTCAGGTTTGAACATACTGGATTAAACCACAAACAGGGAACCCTAAACAAAAGCTGAGGGACTGAGATTTAGCACTTTGACCTCTAACAAAGGTAAAACATTTTCATGTGGACTACAACTGGCATGTTATACCTATACCATACCTAAATACCAAAAACAGCAACAACAACTTTTTCCTGTGCCAGGAGCAATTTGAGAAATTGCAAATCACTTCTGGTGTAAGAGAATTGGCCGTTTTCAAGGATGTTGCCCAGAGGACATCCGGATGTTTTATGTTTTACCATCCTTGTGGGAGCCCCCTGTGGCCTCATCATTACTATACCGTTGTAATGAGAGTGACTTGTTTCGCAAAACCTACTTATAATACCGAGGTTTTCTGTAGGAGAGCAGATAGTGACTATTGGATGGCATATGTTCTGTATCAGAAACTAGAGCTTGTTTGCAATTTTCTGAATCAGCACCCCAAATAACCAAACCGAATCTACAGTTGACCAAAACTGATTCGTAACCCTTTGGGTACTAATGTTGGAGAGTGGTCCCTGGTCAAAAAAAGATTGGGAACCACTGTTTTAAACCGATCACTAGGGTCAGTCTATAGTTACAAAATAAGAAATCCAATGAAAATAATCAGAACTTCAAATCACATTGAGATGAGATTTCCAAGCAAGGTGGAGAAGTAACCAAACAAAATTCTGATTGAAATCTTTAATATATCACTTGATACCTCTTGTAAGTATTGCCTGAACAGTAGTGTGCACTTATGATAATTAAAGTATGTTAATTTACAACTCAATTAAAAAGTCTGCAACATATATTGGGGCTCCTTCCATTTCTTGTATTGTTTCTTTGCCTTAACTAACTCTTCAGGCTTGCCTCCCCCACCTCCATCCCCATGAGCACAGTCTCATTCAGCCTGTCTTTGTGTATCATATAACTGAAGTTTGATGAGAAACAGAAACTAAAAAACCGGAACATGAAGAAGCAGCTATGGCAGCTCAGTACTGGACAAACAAGAGCCCTGTCCATGAAATAAAGAAATTCAATTATACATATTTTAATGAGTGTGAGTGTTACAGAGTCATTAATTCATTTTTATAATACAGTACTTGTTCTGGAAGTGGGTGTAGTTCTTGGCCTCTCCAAGCAGACTCTTGGTGCCAAACACTGACACATGTTACAGCTCTAAGATAAGCTTTATTGTTGGCAAATGATGAAGTTGATGTACAGCTGATAAGCATTCCAGCTCTTGCTGGTGGAATCCTCCATCCTCTTATAGCAAAAGGTAATGCATCTGAGGAAGTAGATGAAGGGCTTGTCTACATGAGCTTAAAAATCAGTACTCAGTCTGAAGTCACCCCTGGGTTT